ATTCGTACTTTTTCGATCAGACTTCTCAATCAAAAGTTATAGACTAGAAACCAATTTCGAAAGAAAATTCAAAGGGCTGTAACTTTTGAACTAGTAGCCCAATCTTGGAACTGTTTGAAATTATGGATTCTACAGGCCACATTCTATAAGAAAATGTTTTTTCCCGATCGATCTGAGACAATTTTTTTTTCGGGCTCAAAAAAAGGCAGTGTATAACCTTCCTTTTTTACCAAAAATTGACTGCACCAAAATTTCTCGGGAAAACACTTTTTCTTATTAATTTTGGTGCGTAGAATCCAAAACAATAAAGGCTCTCTAATCTCTCCAACATGAATCTGTGACTATTGTGCTTCTCTTTTGAAGCCTCATGGAGGTTCTTAAAGTTTTTTAAAGACTCAAATGGGTTTCAAGGTCTGTCCGAGGCTCTAAAGGCTCTAACCTCTCAACATGAATCTGTGACTTAGTGGGGATTTGTACCTCACAGCCTTCAGAACGCTCTTGAAGTCTCATGGAGGATCTTAAAGTTGTTAAATGATTCCAATGGGCTGCAATGGTCTGTCAGAGGCTCGAAAGTTTAAAGGGTCTCTAATCTCTTCGACATGAATCTGCGTTTTTGTGCCACACAGCCTCCAAAATACTCTTGCAGCCTCAGGGAAGATCTTTTTTTAAATACTCTAAATTGATTTCAAAGGTCTGTCGGAGGAGGCTACGAAGGCTCTCTAACCTCACGGAGGATCTTAAACTTTTTTAAAGACTCAAGTAGGTTTCAAAGGTCTGTCAGGGGCTCTTAAGGCTCTTTAATCTCTCTAACATGAATCTGTGACTATTAGTGTTTGTGTGCCTCAGAGCCTCCAGAACACTCTTGAAGCCTCATAGAGGATCTTAACGTTTCTTAAAGATTCAAATGGGTTTCAAAGGTCTGTCAAAGGCTCTCGGTGACTTGGCGTTTTTGCGTCTCACAGCCTCCAGAACACCTTTGAAGTCTTGTGGAGGATCATAAAGTTTTTTAAAGATTCAATAGGGTTTCAGGGGCCCTTAAGGCTCTTTAATCTCTCCAACATCAATCGGTGACTATTAGTTTTTGTTTTTGCTTCACTGGCGGTCTCCTGTCAGAAACGCAGCGCGCCGAGAGAGATAGCGCGCAAGGCGGATTTCTGTCACTGTCACTCGCGCGCGAATGTAATTTCTGTCGCTGTCAGTAAATGCGTTGTTGCATGCGCGTAGTGGCGAGAGAGACAGTGGAACAGAGGTGTTCCTTTTGGCCCTCTCTCGGATGGTGCTGGCGGCAAGGCGCGCGTTACAGTACAAGTACAATTTGGTAGTCAAAATCGTTATTTAGGCACCAATTTTGTTAGTAAAAAGATTAAACTCTATTGATGCTCAAGAAGTGATCCATATGCATTTTTGGTAACCAAAATATTTTTTATTGTCAAAATCATTTTTTAGGCATCAATTTTCTTGGGAAAAAGGCTAAACTCGATTGCTTAATGCCCAAGAAGTGTATTATTGGCCAAAAAATGTCAAAATCGTTATTTATGTGCCGATTATCTTGGAAAAAAAGACTTCGGGTTGAAACCTTATGGATGCCATTATGGGCACAGGAGATTGTGTCTTCAAGAGTCTCAGAGTCTGTTAGAGTGTCAAAGAGGACCTTTCTATTGAATTTAAAGACATGCAAGTGGATTATCTTGCAGTAAAAAGCTGAGTCTTCTCCATAGAACCTTTACGAATCTTTAAGATCTTTCCTAAATAGAAAGTATCAGTATCGCCAAGAGCGTCTGTTTTGGGAGCACGAGATTAAGCGGCCACAAACGGTCCTTCAATAGATCTCTGCGACACCCCACTTCTTGGTCGCTGATTGCGGCCCAAAAAACGTAGGTATTTGCCGAGGTATTTGCATAATAGTTTCTGGCGAGGGGCCCCATATGAAGAACGTGTACGTCTTGAAATTGCCTACGAGATGTCCCAAAAAAGGAGACAGACGTGATATAATTACGATTAACTTTACGCTTTCGGTTCGACTTTATTGTAATGGCGTTGGCGCTGGATGAATTTTAAATTTTACCACGCAATTGTAACCGTATCGGCGTCCCTCAGTGCCCAAATCTTGGACCGCTATTATTTGTCAAAATGCAAGTCGATATACCGGGTGTTTATTTGGAATGTGAATTAAATTCATCCCATTGTAAAGAGAAGAGAATTAGAAGTTCCGGCACGGAACAGGAAGAAGAAGGTCGAACAAAAATCGCGTTTTCTCTAAAGTGAAAGTAACCAAACCTCGAAGTTAATGACACACTTAACGCATAAACAAACATTACTTCGACGCGCTCCTTTTTTAAGGAAAATATTTATTTAAATCGTCTGCCGTGGGAATTCTCCCCTTTTCGGTCTCCAGACTCGACTTTTGCGGTTATAAATATGATCGAGGTCGACTCATAAATTTCACCCCATGCGGTGAGTGTTTACGAAAATTCTTTTGCGCCACAGTCGGGGCGATAAACAATCCCCTTCGAACGGTAGCAGTATATTTTTAAAAGAGGATCCGCGAGCTAACATTTCGGCGTGTTACGTGGGTTGAAAGATGGCATTCGCGTAGGTCGCCAGGGATTAATTAACAACTTTCTTTGTCGTTTTGTTACGTGCACGACGTGTAGGAGAAAAACCAGAGATTTTTGACGGTAGGTGTTGCCTAAAATAGAATTGAAAAGCATTGTTGTAGCTCCAGATCTAATGCTATTGAATTTGAACACACTGTAGAACTATCAGGGGCGCATTTGCCCCATCGTTTTGACATGAGGAGCGCCTTTTGGAAATTTTCAGAAGTTCCTCTGACTTTGGTAATTTTTTTCGAAATTGTACGAGGCAGCCCTTAGAGACAAACATCAAAATTTGAAAATTGGAAACACACTGTAGCACTATCAGGGCCGGATTTGTCGCCACGTTGTCAAACAAGGAGTGCCTTCTTCAAATTTTCGGAAGTTCCTTTTAACTAATTTTTTTCAAATTTGTACGAGACAGCCCTTAGAGACATACATCAAAATTTGAAAATTGGGAACACACTGTAGCACTATCAGGGCCGTATTTGTCTCCACGTTGCCAAATAAGGGGCGCCTTCTTAAAATTTTCGGAAGTTCCTCTTAAGTAATTTTTTTCGAAATTGTACGAGACAGCCCTTAGGGACAGACATCAAAATTTGAAAATTGGGAACACACTGTAGCACTATCAGGGCCGGATTTGTCGCCATGTTGCCAAATAAAGGGCGCCTTCTTCAAATTTTCGGAAGTCCCTCTTAAGTAATATTTTTCGAAATTGTACGAGGCCGCCCTTAGGGACAGAGATCAAAATTGGAAAATTGGGAACACACTGTAGCACTATCAGGGCCGGATTTGTCGCCATGTTTCCAAATAAGGGCGCCTTCTTCAAATTTTTCGGAAGTCCCTCTTAAGTAATTTTTTTCGAAATTGTACGAGACAGCTCTTAGGGACGGACATCAAAATTTGAAAATTGGGAACACACTGTAGCACTATCAGGGCCGTATTTGTCTCCACGTTGCCAAATAAGGGGTGTTTTCTTCAAATTTCGGAAGTTCCTCTTAATTAATTTTTCTCCAAATTGTACGAGACAACCCTTAGAGACAGACATCAAAATTTGAAAATTGGCAACACACTGTAGCCCCATCAAGGCCGGATTGTCACTATGTTGCCAAATAAGGGGTGTTTTCTTCAAATTTTCGGAAGTCCTCTTGAGTAATTTTTTTCGAAATTGACGAGACAGCCCTTAGGACAGACATCAAAATTTGAAAAATTGGCAAACATACTGTAGCACTATCAGGGTCGGATTTGTCGCCACGTTGCCAAATAAGGGGAGCCTTCTTCTAATTTTCGGACTCGTTTTCGGAGGTTCCTCTTAAGTAATTTTTTTCGAAATTGTACGAGACAGCCCTTAGGGACAGACATCAAAATTTGAAAATTGGGAACACACTGTAGCACTATCAGGGTCGTATCTGTCGCCACGTTGCCAAATAAGGGACGCCTTCTTAAAATTTTCGGAGGTTCCTCTTAAGTAATTTTTTTCGAAATTGTACGAGACAGCCCTTAGGGACAGACATCAACATTTGAAAATTGGGAACACACTGTAGCACTATCAGGGCCGGATTTGTCGCGTCGTTGTCAACTAAGGGGCGCCTTCTTCAAATTTTCGGAAGTTCCTCTTAAGTAATTTTTTCTAAATTGTACGAGGCAGCCCTTAGGGACAGAGATCAAAATTGGAAAATTGGGAACACACTGTAGCACTATCAGGGCCGGATTTGTCGCCATGTTGCCAAATAAAGGGCGCCTTCTTCAAATTTTCGGAGGTAAATGTACTTATATTGGGCCATGCTCTTATAATGGACACAACAATTTTAAAAATTAAAAACAAGCTTTCTATTCATGAAAAGAAATACCATAAACTGTCAACGTAAACCTTTATTCTTTAAAAATAACATAGCAAAGGGTCAGGTACCCAGTATGCATTTGAGTGTAGTTGAATGAACGTCATTGTTTCCTGGTACGTCGTCTGTGTAACAAGTTGACTGCGTAGTGAATATTATTAAGAGGTAAGTGTTTTTTCAATGTTTTTTTTACTAATTATTGGATTAATCGCTCGACTTCAAAATGTGCTTTTTTGTTGTAATCTTAAATAAGGGTAATCCGTTGAAGCGTTGAATCAACAAAAATACGTGTTTTCCATGCTTTTGGGGGATGGCCCAAATTAAGAACATAATATTTTTTTAGGTTCTTTTTTTGGGCCACCTGTCCCAAATTAAGAGCTCAATTGTTAAATGTATTTTATTAATGAGTAATACCCTTTCATGGCGACAAAGCTATAGCTATCTTCGTCATGCTTATACGATGAATTATTCTTAAATTGGGCCACCCCTGTCCAAATTAAGAAACAAGGCGGCTCAAGTAAAGGACAATTTCAGGTACATGTAACGTGGGCATTTTCCCTTTACAGAGATGGGGTCTGAACAACAACAAAAATACAACAAATATAGTGAAGATCAAGTAATGCAGGCGTTACAGGATATGGAGGCAGGAGCGAGTTTACGTGCGACTTCAAAAAAACACGGAATTCCACGAGCCACACTACTACGAAAATCAAAAACCACAGGCCCTTTGGAAACGAAAGCAGGCGCGCCAACTGTTTTCGATGCTAAGGAAGAAGCGATCTTAGTAAAATGGGTCAAAGCAATGGCCAATGCTGGATTCCCTATATCCAAAGAGACTCTTTTCTTCAGTGTCGATAAATTGGCAACTCGAATGGAGAAAACCTTTATCGGCGGGAAGTCCCGCGGTAGCACCATGCCGGGGCGTAAGTGGTATGAGGGCTTCATGAGAAGACACCCGGATATTAGGGAGAGAACAAGCCAGAACCTCACTTCCGCAAGAAATAAAATTACTCAAAAGGACATAAATCAGTGGTTTGACGAGATTGGAAATTACATCCAACAAAACAATTTACAAAGCGTTTTTGACGATAATAGGCGCATCTTTAATTGTGATGAAACAGCCTTTTTTTTAAATCCCAAGCCTGGTAAAGTATTGGCTGAAAAGGGCTCCAAAAACGTGTATACATCGGCAGGCGCAGATGAAAAATTTAATTTAACTGTTTTAGTCACGGGAAATGCGGCCGGAATATTGGCACCGCCGATGATAGTGTATAGATATCAACGCATTCCACTGCAAATCGTGAAAAATATACCACCTGAATGGGGTATAGGCAAGTCGGAAAATGGATGGATGACCCAGGAAACATTTTTTGAGTACATCACTAATATATTTAATCCGTGGTTGGACAAACACAATATTCCTCGTCCTGTAATTATGTTTCTCGATGGCCATTCATCACATTTATCTCTCCCTCTCTCAGAGTTTTGCGAGCAGAAAAAAATAATATTGGTTGCACTCTATCCAAATGCCACTCATCTCATACAACCTTTGGACGTTGCAGTGTTTCATACATTAAAAAGTTCGTGGAAACAAAAGGTGGCTGAATGGAGAATTGCTAGTGAAGGAGCTCAAATGCAGAAACATAACTTTCCAGAAGTTCTGCAATCAGTTTTGGGTCAATTAGAACCGCAGGTATTAATAAGTGGATTTCGAAAATGTGGTTTGGTGCCTTGGAACCCATTAGAAGTGGAAGTACCCCTCAATAAGCCAGAGGAACCAAAAAAGTTAGAAAAACTTAATGGAGACACAAACATTGTTACTTTTTTTACAATGTTAGAACAAAAATTAGGTACCGAGAAGCTAAGACAGTTTCAAAGTAGTAATGGTACTTGGAATGGTGCTACAGAAGACAAATCTTTGTACGTCCTGTGGCTTGAAACTAAACATACCGTAGAAGCAAACAAGACTCCTAGAGAGCATTCTCCCATTCTCACAATTAAAAATAGCTTGGACACTAAAGAAGAAACTGCACGAGATCCCGAACAAGAAGAGCAGGCAGTTTGTGAAGATAAAACTCCTGAAAAAGAAGCAGTTGCGGGGCCATCAAAAAACAGTGCATTAGTTGGAGTTCCAACGCCGTTTAAATCAACTCTCTTTTGGCCACAAGAAAATCAGGACATATCTCGAAAACGGAAAGCAGAGAAATTGCCTTCAGTGGTAACCTCTCCGCAGATGATAGAATACTACAAAAAGAAGGAAAGCATGAAAAGAGCTAAGGAAGAAGGGATAAAAAAACGGAAAATGGAACGGGAGGAAAAGAAGAAATTAATAGAAGAAAAGAAAAAAATCGCAGAAGAAAAAAAACAATTACAGAACATTGTGAGGTCATCTTCAGAATCTTCAGGGAATTCCTCTCTGGTGTATCAAGAATCTGTCGATTCGCCATGGAACGAATCCGAGACAAGCGACGAAGAGATTCCCGAAGAAATTTCGATGAGAAAATTGGCAATAGGTGACTTTATTCTAGTTAATTTTGTGGGGGGAAAAAGGAATTCGACCAACTACAAATATGTCTGTGTCATTCAAAAAATTAAAACCAATGAAATAACCGTTCAGGGCCTTCAGTCTAATAAATCAAGGAAAGCTTATCATTTGGTGGATAATGACATTTCAAGTGTAGAATTTCGACAAATCGTTGGTCGGCTTCCTCAGCCTGAAATAGAAGTGGAAGGAAGACAAGTGCTTTATAAATTTAAGAAAAATATATGTATTATGGAAAAAGCCTAAATGTAATATAGATTTTAAAATAAGTTTGACGATAAGTTTTTGTATCCCAATGTTTTTGAATAAATTTTGATTTGCAAAATAATTTCAGCATTAAACTATAGTCCCAAATTGTGGGGGCCCAATATAAGCAAAATTCAAATTCCCCCTGCCCAATTTGAGGACCTTGACATGTAAGGGGTTGAGTCAAATTATGGAACCCTTAGTTACCCCTGGTATAGGATGTAAGTGTTTTATCTGATAATGTAGACTTCAACCTACAAAACCCAGTAAATAACACTTTTGTCCTAATCAATTCAAGCGAGATAGCACCCAAAACGTCCTTAAGCGTCCCAATATGAGTACATTTACCT